GGGTGATTTATCCGAAATGCCATTTTCTTTCGATTCTGGAGGCTACAGATCACAGAATCAGGCCGAGGCTATTCTCCACCGATAATGAAGTCTATTGATCCTATTCTCCACGGATGATAAGCCCGTTAAGCATCGATTTGGGCCAATTTATTTTCGCATGGCATTTTTCGTAATTTCTTGGGCTACGAAAGGCCATTTTCTTTGGATATTGAAGGCTACAGATCACGGATTCGCCCTGAGGCTATTCTCCAACGATGATTCATTCCATTAAGCACCAATTTGAGCCGATTTATTCTGGGTTAATTTTTGGCAGATTCCAAAGGGGTACAATCACAGATTTCGTGCGATTTATCCAAATGCCATTTTCTTTCGATTCTGGAGGCTACAGATCACGGAATCAGGCCGAGGATATTCTCCACCGATAATGAAGTCTATTGATCCTATTCTCCACGGATGATAAGCCCGTTAAGCATCGATTTGGGACAATTTATTTTCAGATGGCATTTTCGTAATTTCTTGGGCGACGAAAGGCAATTTTCTTATGATATTGAAGGCTACAGATCACGGATTCGGCCTGAGGCTATTCTCCAACGATGATTGAGTCCATTAAGCACCGATTTTGGCGGATTTATTCGGGGTCAATTTTTGGAAGATTCCAAAGGTGTACCATCACAGATTTCGGGCGATTTATCCGAAATGTCATTTTCTTTCGATTTTGGAGGCTACATATCACGGAACCAGGCTGAGGCTATTCTCCACTGATAATGAAGTCTATTGATCCTATTCTCCACGGATGATAAGCCCGTTAAACATGGATTTTGGCTAATTTATTTTCAAATGGCATTTTCGTAATTTCTTGGGCGACGAAAGGCCATTTTCTTTTGATATTGAAGGCTATAGATCACAAATTCGGCCTGAGGATAATCTCCAACGATGATTGAGTCCATTAAGCACCGATTAGGGCGGATTTATTCCGGGTCAATTTTTGGCAGATTCCAAAGGAGTACCATCACAGATTTTGGGCGAATTATTCGAAATGCCATTTTCTTTTGATTCTGGAGGCTACAGATCACGGAATCAGGTCGAGGCTATTCTCCACCGATAATGAAGTCTATTGATCCTATTCTCTACGGATGATAAGCCCGTTAAGCATCGATTTGGGCCAATTTATTTTTGGATGGCATTTTTCGTAATTTCTTGGGCGACGAAAGGCCATTTTCTTTGGATATTGAAGGCTACAGATCACGGATTCGGCCTGAGGCTATTCTCCAACGATGATTGAGTCCATTAAGCACCGATTTGGGCGGATTTATTTCGGGTCAATTTTTGGTAGATTCCAAAGGGGTACCATCACAGATTTCGTGCGATTTATCCGAAATGCCATTTTCTTTCGATTATGGAGGCTATAGATCACGGAATCTGGCCGGGCTATTCTCCACCGATAATGAAGTCTATTGATCCTATTCTCCACGAATGATAAGCCCGTTAAGCATCGATTTGGGCCAATTTATTTTCGGATGGAATTTTCGTAATTCTTTGGGCGACGAAAGTCCATTTTCTTTGGATATTGAAGGCTACAAATCATGGATTCGCCTTGAGGCTATTCTCCAACGATGATTGAGTCCATTAAGCACCAATTTGGGCGATTTAATCCGGGTCAATCTTTGGCAGATTCCAAAGGGGTACTATCACAGATTTCGGGTGATTTATCCGAAATACCATTTTCTTTCGATTCTGGAGGCTACAGATCACAGAATCAGGCCGAGGCTATTCTCCACCGATAATGAAGTCTATTGATCCTATTCTCCACGGATGATAAGCCCGTTAAGCATCGATTTGGGCCAATTTATTTTCGCATGGCATTTTTCGTAATTTCTTGGGCTACGAAAGGCCATTTTCTTTGGATATTGAAGGCTACAGATCACGGATTCGCCCTGAGGCTATTCTCCAACGATGATTAAGTCCATTAAGCACCAATTTGAGCCGATTTATTCTGGGTTAATTTTTGGCAGATTCCAAAGGGGTACAATCACAGATTTCGTGCGATTTATCCAAATGCCATTTTCTTTCGATTCTGGAGGCTACAGATCACGGAATCAGGCCGAGGATATTCTCCACCGATAATGAAGTCTATTGATCCTATTCTCCACGGATGATAAGCCCGTTAAGCATCGATTTGGGACAATTTATTTTCAGATGGCATTTTCGTAATTTCTTGGGCGACGAAAGGCAATTTTCTTATGATATTGAAGGCTACAGATCACGGATTCGGCCTGAGGCTATTCTCCAACGATGATTGAGTCCATTAAGCACCGATTTTGGCGGATTTATTCGGGGTCAATTTTTGGAAGATTCCAAAGGTGTACCATCACAGATTTCGGGCGATTTATCCGAAATGTCATTTTCTTTCGATTTTGGAGGCTACATATCACGGAACCAGGCTGAGGCTATTCTCCACTGATAATGAAGTCTATTGATCCTATTCTCCACGGATGATAAGCCCGTTAAACATGGATTTTGGCTAATTTATTTTCAAATGGCATTTTCGTAATTTCTTGGGCGACGAAAGGCCATTTTCTTTTGATATTGAAGGCTATAGATCACAAATTCGGCCTGAGGCTAATCTCCAACGATGATTGAGTCCATTAAGCACCGATTAGGGCGGATTTATTCCGGGTCAATTTTTGGCAGATTCCAAAGGAGTACCATCACAGATTTTGGGCGAATTATTCGAAATGCCATTTTCTTTTGATTCTGGAGGCTACAGATCACGGAATCAGGTCGAGGCTATTCTCCACCGATAATGAAGTCTATTGATCCTATTCTCTACGGATGATAAGCCCGTTAAGCATCGATTTGGGCCAATTTATTTTTGGATGGCATTTTTCGTAATTTCTTGGGCGACGAAAGGCCATTTTCTTTGGATATTGAAGGCTACAGATCACGGATTCGGCCTGAGGCTATTCTCCAACGATGATTGAGTCCATTAAGCACCGATTTGGGCGGATTTATTCCGGGTCAATTTTTGGTAGATTCCAAAGGGGTACCATCACAGATTTCGTGCGATTTATCCGAAATGCCATTTTCTTTCGATTATGGAGGCTATAGATCACGGAATCTGGCCGAGGCTATTCTCCACCGATAATGAAGTCTATTGATCCTATTCTCCACGAATGATAAGCCCGTTAAGCATCGATTTGGGCCAATTTATTTTCGGATGGAATTTTCGTAATTCTTTGGGCGACGAAAGTCCATTTTCTTTGGATATTGAAGGCTACAAATCATGGATTCGCCTTGAGGCTATTCTCCAACGATGATTGAGTCCATTAAGCACCAATTTGGGCGATTTATTCCGGGTCAATTTTTGGCAGATTCCAAAGGGGTACCATACAGATTTCGGGCGATTTATCTGAAATGCCATTTTCTTTCGATTCTGGAGGCTACAGATCACGAAATCAGGCCGAGGCTATTCTCCACCGATAATGAAGTCTATTGATTCTATTCTCCACGGATGATAAGCCCGTTAAGCATCGATTTGGGCAAATTTATTTTTGGATGACATTTTCTTAATTTCTTGGGCGACGAAAGGCCATTTTCTTTGGATATTGAAGGCTACAGATCACGGATTCGCCTTGAGGCTATTCTCCAACGATGATTAAGTCCATTAAGCACCGATTTGGGCGAATTTATTCTGGTTCAATTTTTTGCAGATTCCAAAGGGGTACCATCACAGATTTCGGGCGATTTTTTCAAAATGCCTTTTTCTTTCGATTCTGGAGGCAGCAAATCACGGAATCAGGCCAAGGCTATTCTCCACCGATAATGAAGTATATTGATCCTATTCTCCATAAATGATAAGTCTATTAAGCACCGTTTTTGGCCCATTTATTTTCAGAATTCATTTTCGTTATTTTTTGGGCGACGAAAGGCCATTTTCTTTGGATTTTGAACGTACAAATTCGACCTGAGGCTATTCTTTAACGATATTTAAGTCCATTAAACCCCAATTTGGGCGGATTTATTCCTGGTCAATTTTTGGAAGATTCCAAAGGGGTACCATCACAGATTTGTGGCGATTTTTTTGAAATGCCATTTTCTTTCGATTTTGGAGGCAACAAATCACAGAATCATGTCGACGCTCTTCTCCACAGATAATGAAGTCTATTGATCCTATTCTCCACTTATGATAAGTCTATTAAGCACCGTTTTTGGCCCATTTATTTGCAGGAGTCATTTTTGTTATTTTTTGTACGACGAAAGGCCATTTTCTTTGGATTTTTAACGCTACAGATCACAGATTCGACTTGAGGCTATTCTTTAACGATATTTAAGTCCATTAAACCCCAATTTGGGCGGATTTATTCCTGGTCAATTATTGGCATATTCCAAAGGGGTTCCATGACAGGTTTCGTGCGATTTTTTTGAAATGCAATTTTCTTTCGATTCTGGAGGCAGCAAATCACGGAATCAGGTCGAGGTTATTCTCCACCGATAATGAAGTCTATTGATCCTATTCTCCACGGGTGATAAGTCCATTAAGCACCGATTTGGGCCAATTTATTTTCGGATGGCATTTTCGTAATTTTTTGGGCGACGAAAGGCCATTTTCTTTGGATTATGAACACTACAAATCACTGATTCTCCCTGAGGATATTCTTTAACAATTATTAAGTCCATTAAGCACCGATTTGTGCGGATTTATCATGGTCAATTTTTGGCATATTCCAAAGGGGTACCATCACAGATTTCGAGCGATTTATCCGAAATGCCATTTTCTTTCGATTCTGGAGGCTACAGATCACGGAATCAGGCCGAGGCAATTCTCAAACGATAATGAAGTCTATTGATCATATTGTCCACGGATGATAAGTCCGTTAAGCATCAATTTGGGCAAATTTATATTCTGATGGCATTTTCGTAATTTCTTATGTGATGAAAGGCCATTTTCTTTGGATATTGAAGGCTATAGATCACGGATTCGGCCTGAGGCTATTCTCTAACGATGATTGAGTCCATTAAGCACCGATTTGGGAGGATTTATTCCAGGTCAATTTTTGGCAGATTCCAATGGGGTACCATCACAGATTTCAGGCGATTTATTCGAAATGCCATTTTCTTTCGATTCTGGAGGCTATAGATCACGGAATCAGGCCGAGGCTATTCTCCACCGATAATGAAGTCTATTGATCCTATTCTCCACGGATGATAAGCCCGTTAAGCATCAATTTGGGCCAATTTATTTTCGGATGGGATTTTCGTAATTTCTTGGGCGACGAAAGGCCATTTTCTTTGGATATTGAAGGCTACAGATCACGGATTCGGCTTTTTGGCATATTCCAATGGGGTACCATCACAGATTTTGGGCGATTTATCCGAAATGCCATTTTCTTTCGATTCTAGAGGCTACAGATCACGGAATCTGGACAAGGCTATTCTCCACCGATAATGAAGTCTATTGATCCTATTCTCCACGGATGATAAGCCCGTTAAGCATTGATTTGGGCCAATTTATTTTCGGATGACATTTTCGTAATTTCTTGAGCGAACAAAGGCCATTTTCTTTGTATATTGAAGGCTACAGATCACGGATTCAGGCTGAGGCTATTCTCCAACGATGATTGAGTCCATTAAGCACAGATTTGGACGGATTTATTCCGGGTCAATTTTTGGCAGATTCCAAAGGGGCACCATCACAGATTTCAGGTGATTTATGCGAAATGCCATTTTCTTTCGATTCTAGAGGCTATAGATCACGGAATCAGGCCGAGGATATTCTCCACCGATAATGAAGTCTACTGATCCTATTCACCGCGGATGATAAGCCCGTAAAGCATCGATTTGGGACAATTTATTTTAGGATGGCATTTTCGTAATTTCTTGGGCGACCAAAGAACATTTTATTTGGATATTGAAGGCTACAGATCACGGATTCTGCCTGAGGCTATTTTCCAACGATGATTGAGTCCATTAAGCACCGATTTGGGCGAATTTATTCCAGGTCAATTTTTGGCAGATTCCAAAGGGATACCATCACAGATTTCGGGCGATTTATCCGAAATGCCATTTTCTTTCTATTCTGGAGGCTACAGATCACGGAATCAGGCCGAGGCTATTCTCCACCGATAATGAAGTCTATTGATCCTATTCTACACGGATGATAAGCCTGTTAAGCATCGATTTGGGCCAATTTATTTTCGGATGGCATTTTCGTAATTTCTTGGGTGACAAAAGGCCATTTTCTTTGGATATTGAAGGCTACAGATCACGGATTTGGACTGAGGCTATTCTCCAACGATGATTGAGTCCATTAAGCACCGATTTGGGTGGATTTATTCCGGGTAAATTTTTGGCAGATTCCAAAGGGGTACCATCACAGATTTTGGGCGATTTATCCGAAATGCAATTTTCTTTCGATTCGGGAGGCTACAAATCACGGAATCAGGCCGAGGCTATTCTCCACCGATAATGAAGTCTATTGATCCTATTCTCCACGGATGATAACTCCGTTGAGCATCGATTTGGGCCAATTTATTTTCGGATGGTATTTTCGTAATTTATTGGATATTAAAGGCCATTTTCTTTGGATATTGAAGGCTACAGATCACGGATTCGGCCTGAGGCTATTCTCCAACGATGATTGAGTCCATTAAGCACCGATTTAGGCGGATTTATTCCGGGTCAATTTTTGGCAGATTCCAAAGGGGTACCATCACAGATTTCGGACGATTTATCCGAAATGCCATTTTCTTTCGATTCTGGAGCCTACAGATCACGGAATCAGGCCGAGGCTATTCTCCAACGATAATGAAGTCTATTGGTCATATTCTCAACGGATGATAAGCCCGTTAAGCATCGATTTGGGACAATTTATTTTCGGATGGCATTTTCATAATTTCTTGTGCGCCGAAAGGCCATTTTCTTTGGATATTGAAGGCTTACTGATCACGGATTTGGCCCGAGGCTATTCTCCAACAATGATTGAGTCCATTAAGCACCGATTTGGGCGGATTTATTCGGGGTCAATTTTTGGCAGATTCTAAAGGGGTACCATCACATATTTCGGGCGATTTATCCGAAATGCCATTTTCTTTCGATTCTGGAGGCTACAGATCACAGAATCAGGCCGAGGCTATTCTCCACCGATAATGAAGTCTATTGATCCTATTCTTCACGGATGATAAGCCCGTTTTGCATCGATTTCGGACAATTTATTTTCGGATGGCATTTTCGTAATTTCTTGGGCGACTAAAGGCCATTTTCTTTGGATATTGAAGGCTACAGATCACGGATTCGGTCTGAGGCTATGTTCCAACGTTGATTGAGTCCATTAAGCACCGATTTGGGAGGATTTATTTCGGGTCAATTATTGGCAGTTTCCAAAGGGGTACCATCACAGATTTCGAGCTATTTATCCGAAATGCCTTTTTCTTTCGATTCTGGAGGCTACAAATCACATAATCAGGCCGAGGCTATTCTCCACTGATAATGAAGTCTATTGATCCTATTCTTCACGGATGATAAGCCCGTTTTGCATCGATTTAGGACAATTTATTTTCGGATGGCATTTTCGTAATTTCTTGGGTGCCGAAAGGCCATTTTCTTTGGATATTGAAGGCTACTGATCACGGATTTGGCCCGAGGCTATTCTCCAACTATTATTGAGTCCATTAAGCACCGATTTGGGCGGATTTATTCGGGGTCAATTTTTGGCAGATTCCAAAGGGGTACCATCACATATTTCGGGCGATTTATCCGAAATGTCATTTTCTTTCGATTCTGGAGGCTACAGATAACGGAATCAGGCCGAGCTATTCTCCACCTATAATGAAGTCTATTGATTCTATTCTTCACGGATGATAAGCCCATTTTGCATCAATTTGGGGCAATTTATTTTCTGATAGCATTTACGTAATTTCTTGGGCAACGAAAGTCTATTTTCTTTGGATATTGAAGGCTACAGATCACGGATTCGGCCCGAGGCTATTCTCCAACGATGATTGAGTCCATTAAGCACAGATTTGGGCGGATTTATTAGGGGTCACTTTTTGGCCGATTCCAAAGGGGTACCAACACAGATTTCGGGCGATTTATCCGAAATACCATTTTCTTTCGATTCTTGAGGCTACAGATCACGGAATCAGGCCGAGGCTATTCTCCACCGATAATGAAATCTATTGATCCTATTCTCCACGGATGACAAGCCCGTTAAGCATCGATTTGGGCCAATTTATTTTTGGATGGCACTTTCGTAATTTCTTGGGCGACGAAAGGCCATTTTGTTTGGATATAGAAGGCTACAGATCACGGATTCGGCCTGAGGCTATTCTCCAATGATGATTGAGTCCATTAAGCACCGATTTGGGCGGATTTATTCCGGGTCAATTTTTGGCAGTTTCCAAAGGGGTACCATCACTGATTTCGGGCGATTTATCCGAAATGCCATTTTCTTTCGATTCTGGAGGCTACAGATCACGGAATCAGGCTGAGGCTATTCTCCACTGATAATGAAGTCTATTGATCCTATTCTTCACGGATGATAATCCCGTTTTGCATCGATTTGGGACAATTTATTTTCGGATGGCATTTTCGTAATTTCTTGGGCGCCGAAAGGCCATTTTCTTTGGATATTGAAGGCTACTGATCACGGATTTGGCCCGAGGCTATTCTCCAACGATCATTGAGTCCATTAAGCACCGATTTGGGCAGATTTATTCGGGATCAATTTTTGGCAGATTCCAAAGGGGTACCATCACATATTTCGGCCGATTTATCCGAAATGCCATTTTCTTTCGAATCTGGAGGCTATAGATCACGGAATCAGGCCGAGGCTATTCTCCACCGATAATGAAGTCTATTGATCCTATTCTTCACGGATGATAAGCCCGTTTTGCATCGATTTGGGCCAATTTATTTTCTGATAGCATTTTCGTAATTTCTTGGGCGACGAAAGGCTATTTTCTTTGTATATTGAAGGCTACAGATCACGAATTCGGCCTGAGGCTATTCTCCAACGATGATTGAGTCCATTAAGCACAGATTTGGGCGGATTTATTCCGGATCAATTTTTGGTCGATTCCAAAGGGGTACCATCAAAGATTTCGGGCGATTTATCCGAAATGCCATTTTCTTTCGATTCTAGAGCCTACAGATCACGTAATCAAGCCGAGGCTATTCTCCAACGATAATGAAGTCTATTGATCATATTCTCAACGGATGCTAAGCCCGTGAAGCATCGATTTGGGCCAATTTATTTTCGGATATCATTTTCGTAATTTCTTGGGCAACGAAAGGCTATTTTCTTTGGATATTGAAGGCTACATATAACGGATTCGGCCTGAGGCTATTCTCCAACGATGATTGAGTCCATTAAGCACAGATTTGGGCAGATTTATTCGGGGTCAATTTTTGGCCGATTCCAAAGGGGTACCATCACAGATTTCGGACGATTTATCCAAAATGCCATTTTCTTTCGATTCTGGAGGCTACAGATCACGAAATCAGGCCGAGGCTATTCTCCACCGATAATGAAGTCTATTGATCATATTCTCCAAGGATGATAACCCCGTTAAGCATCGATTTGGGCCAATTTATTATCGGATGACATTTTCGTAATTTCTTGGGCGACGAAAGGCCATTGTCTTTGGATATTGAAGGCTACAAATCACGGATTCGGTCTGAGGCTATTCTCCAACGATGATTGAGTCCATTAAGCAACGATTTGGGCGGATTTATTACGGGTCAATTTTTCGCAGATTCCAAAGGGGTTCCATCACAGATTTCGGGAGATTTATCCGAAATGCCATTTTCTTTCGATTCTGGAGGCTACAGATAATGGAATCAGGCCGAGGCTATTCTCCACTCATAATGAAGTCTATTGATCCTATTCTCCACGGATGATAAGCCCGTAAAGCATCAGTTTGGCTAATTTATTTTCGGATGGCATTTTCGTAATTTCTTGGATACTAAAGGCCATTTTCTTTGGATATTGAAGGCTACAGATCACAGATTCGGCCTGAGGCTATTCTCCAACGATGATAGAGTCCATTAGGCACAGATTTGGGCGGATTTATTCAGTGTCAATTTTTGGCCGATTCCAAAGGGGTACCATCACAGATTTCATGCGATTTATCCGAAATGCCATTTTCTTTCTATTCTGGAGGCTACATATCACAGAATATGGACGAGGCTATTCTCCACCGATAATGAAGTCTATTGATCCTATTCTCCACGGATGATAAGCCTGTTAAGCATCGATTTGGGCCAATTTATTTTCGGATGGCATTTTCGTCATTTCTTGGGCGACGAAAGGCCATTTTCTTTGGATATTGAAGGCTACAGATCACAGATTCGGCCTGAGGCTATTCTCCAATGATGATTGAGTCCATCAAGCACTGATTTGGGCGGATATATTCCGGGTCAATTTTTGGCAGATTCCAAAGGGATACCATCACAGATTTCGGGCGATTTATCCGAAATACCATTTTCTTTCGTTTCTTGAGGCTACAGATCACGGAATCAGGCGGAGGCTATTCTCCACCGATAATGAAATCTATTGATCCTATTCTCCACGGATGATAAGCCCGTAAGCATCGATTTGGGCCAATTTATTTTTGGATGGCACTTTCGTAATTTTTGGGCGACGAAAGGCCATTTTCTTTGGATATTGAAGGCTACAGATCACGGATTCGACCTGAGGCTATTCTCCAATGATGGTTGAGTGCATTAAGCACCGATTTGGGTGGATTTATTTCGGGTCAATTTTTGGCAGATTCCAAAGGGGTACCATCATAGATTTCTGGCGATTTATCCGAAATGCTATTTTCTTTCGATTCTGGAGGCGACAGATCACGGAATCAGGCTGAGGCTATTCTCCACCTATAATGAAGTCTATTGATCATATTCTCCACGAATGATAACCCTGTTAAGCATCGATTTGGGCCAATTTATATTCAGATAGCATTTTCTTAATTTCTTTGGCAACGAAAGGCTATTTTCTTTGGATATTAAAGGCTACAGATCACGGATTCGGCCTGAGGCTATTCTCCAACGATGATTGAGTCCATTAAGCACATATTTGGGCGGATTTATTCCCGGTCAATTTTTGGCCGATTCCAAAGGGCTACCATCACATATTTCGGGCGATTCAACCGAAATGCGATTTTCTTTCGATTCTGTAGCCTACAGATCACGGAATCAGGCCGAGGCTATCCCCAACGATAAAGAAATCTATTGATCATATTCTGAACGGATGATAAGCCCGTTAAGCATCAATTTGGGCCAATTTATTTTTGGATAGCATTTTCGTAATTTCTTGGGCAACGAAAGGCTATTTTCTTTGGATATTGAAGGCTACATATCACGATTCGGCTTGAGGCTATTCTCCAACGATGATTGAGTCCATTAAGCACAGATTTGGGCGGATTTATTCGGGGTCAATTTTTGGCCGATTCCAAAGGGGTACCATCACAGATTTCGGACGATTTATCCGAAATGCCATTTTCTGTCGATTCTTGAGCCTACAGATCACAGAATTAGGCCGAGGCTATTCTCCACCGATAATGAAGTCTAGTGATCATATTCTCCACGGATGATAACCCCGTTAAGCATCGATTTGGGCCAATTTATTTTCGGATGGCATTTTCGTAATTTCTTGGCGACGAAAGGCCATTTTCTTTGGATATTGAAGGCTACAGATCACGGATTCGGTCTGAGGCTATTCTCCAACGATGATTGAGTCCATTAAGCACCGATTTGGGCGGATTTATTTCGGGTCAATTTTTGGCAGTTTCCAAAGGGGTACCATCACAGATTTCGGGCGATTTATCCGAAATGCCATTTTCTTTCGATTCTGGAGGCTACAGATCACGGAATCAGGCCGAGGCTATTCTCCACCGATAAGGAAGTCTATTGATCCTATTCTTCACGGATGATAAGCCCGTTTTGCATCGATTTGGGCCAATTTATTTTCTGATAGCATTTTCTTAATTTCTTGGGCAACGAAAGGCTATTTTCTTTGGATATTGAAGGCTACAGATCACGGATTCGGCCTGAGGCTATTCTCTAACGATGATTGAGTCCATTACGCACAGATTTGGGTGGATTTATTCCGGGTCAATTTTTGGCCGATTCCAAAGGGGTACCATCACATATTTCGGGCGATTTATCCGAAATGCCATTATCTTTCGATTTAGGAGCATACAGATCACGGAATCAGGCCTAGGCTATTCTCCAACGATAATGAAGTCTATTGATCATATTCTCAACGGATGATAAGCCCGTTAAGCATCGATTTGGGCCAATTTATTTTCGGATAACATTTTCGTAATTTCTTGGGCAATGAAAGGCTATTATATTTGGATATTGAAGGCAACATATTACGGATACGGTCTGAGGCTATTCTCCATCGATGATTGAGTCCATTAAGCGCATATTTGGGCGGATTTATTCGGGGTCAATTTTTGGCCGATTCCAAAGGGGTACCATCACAGATTTCGGACGATTAATTCGAAATGCCATTTTCTTTCGATTCTGGAGCCTACAGATCACAGAATCAGGCCGAGGCTATTCTCCACCGATAATGAAGTCTATTGATCATATTCTCCGCGGATGATAACCCCGTTAAGCATCAATTTGGGCCATTTTATTTCCGGATGGCATTTTCGTAATTTCTTGGGCGACGAAAGGCCATTTTCTTTGAATATTGAAGGCTACAGATCACGGATTCGGTCTGAGGCTATTATCCAACTATGATTGTGTCCATTAATCACCGATTTGGGCGGATTTATTTCGGGTCAATTTTTGGCAGATTCCAAAGGGGTACCATAACAGATTTCGGACGATTTATCTGAAATGCCATTTTCTTTCGATTCTGGAGGCTACAGATCACGGAATCAGGCCGAGGCTATTCTCCACTGATAATGAAATCTATTGTTCCTATTCTCCACGGATGATAAGCCCGTTAAGCATCAGTTTGGGCCAATTTATTTTCGGATGGCATTTTCGTAATTTCTTGGATATTAAAGGTTATTTTCTTTGGATATTGAAGGCTACAGATCACGGATTCGATCTGAGGCTATTCTCCAACGATGATTGAGTCAATTAAGCACAGATTTGGGCGGATTTATTCCGGGTCAATTTTTGGCCGATTCCAAAGGGGTACCATCACAGATTTCGGGCGATTTATCCGAAATGCCACTTTCTTTCGATTCTGTTGCCTACAGATCATGGAATCAGGGCGAAGCTATTCTCCACCGATAATGAAGTCTATTGATCATATTCTCAACGGATGATAAGCCAGTTAAGCATCGATTTGGGCCAATTTATTTTCGGATGGCATTTTCGTAATTTCTTGGGCGACGAAAGGCCATTTTCTTTGGATATTGAAGGCTACAGATTACGGATTCGGCCTGAGGCTATTCTCCAATGATGATTGAGTCCATTAAGCACCGATTTGGGCGGATTTATTCCGGGTCAATTTTTGGCAGATTCCAAAGGGGTACCATTATAGATTTCGGGCGATTTATCCGAAATTCCATTTTCTTTCGATTCTGGAGGCTACAAATCACGAAATCAGGCCGAGGCTATTCTCCACAGATAATGAAGTCTATGGATCCTATTCTCCACGGATGATAAGCCCGTTAAGCATCAATTTGGTCCAATTTATTTTCGGATGACATTTTAGTAATTTCTTGGGCGACAAAAGGCCATTTTCTTTGGATATTGAAGGCTACAAATCAAGGATTCCGCCTAAGGCTATTCTCCAACGATGATTGAGTCCATTAAGCACCGATTTGGGCGGATTTATTCAGGGTCAATTTTTGGCAGATTCCAAAGGGGTACCATCACAGATTTCGGGTGATTTATAGGAAATGCCATTTTCTTTCGATTCTGGAGGCTACAGATCACGGAATCTGGCCGAGACTATTCTCCACCGATAATGAAGTCTATTGATCCTATTCTCCACGGATGATAATGCCGTTAAGCATCGATTTTGGCCAATTTATTTTCGGATGGCATTTTCGTAATTTCTTGGGCGACGAAAGGCCATTTTCTTTGGATATTGAAGGCTACATATCACGGATTCGGCCTGAGGCTATTACCCAACGATGATTGAGTCCATTAAGCACAGATTTGGGCGGATTTATTCCGGGTCAATTTTTGACAGATTCCAAAGGGGTACCATCACAGATTTCAGCGATTTATCTGAAATGTCATTTTCTTTCGATTCTGGAGGTTACAGATCACGGAATCAGGCCGAGGCTATTCTCCACCGGTAATGAAGTCTATTGATCCTTTTCTCCATGGATGATAAGCCCGTTAAGCATCGATTTGGGCCAATTTATTTTCGGATGGCATTTTCGTAATTTCTTGGGCGACGAAAGGCCATTTTCTTTGGATATTGAAGGCTACAAATCACGGATTCCGCCTGAGGCTATTCTCCAACGATGATTGAGTCCATTAAGCACAGATTTGGGCGGATTTATTCCGGGTCAATTTTTGGCAGATTCCAAAGGGGTACCATCACAGATTTCGGGCGATTTATCTGAAATGCCATTTTCTTTCGATTCTGGAGGGTACAGATCACGGAATCATGCCGAGGCTATTCTCCACCGATAATGAAGTCTATTGATCCTTTTCTCCACGGATGATAAGCCCGTTAAGCATCGATTTGGGCCAATTTATTTTCGGATGACATTTTCGTAATTTCTTGTGCGACGAAAGGCCCTTTGGATATTGAAGTCTACAGATCACGGATTCGGCCTGAGGCTATTCTCCAACGATGATTGTGTCCATTCAGCACCGATTTGGGCGGATTTATTCCGGGTCAATTTTTGGCAGATTCCAAATGGGTACCATCACAGATTTCGGGCAATTTATCTGAAATGCCATTTTCTTTCGATTCTGGAGGCTACAGATCACAAAATCAGGCCGAGGCTATTCTCCACTGATAATGAAGTCTATTGATCCTTTTCTCCACGGATGATAAGCCCGTTAAGCATCGATTTGGGCCAATTTATTTTCGGATGAAATTTTCGTAATTTCTTGTGTGACGAAAGGCCATTTTCTTTGGATATTCAAGGCCACAGATCACGGATTCGCCCTGAGGCTATTCTCCAACGATGATTGAGTCCATTAAGCACAGATTTGGGCGGATTTATTCCGGGTCAATTTTTGACAGATTCCAAAGGGGTACCATCACAGATTTCAGGCGATTTATCTGAAATGTCATTTTCTTTTGATTCTGGAGGTTACAGATCACGGAATCAGGCCGAGGCTATTCTCCACCGATAATGAAGTCTATTGATCCTTTTCTCCATGGATGATAAGCCCGTTAAGCATCGATTTGGGCCAATTTATTTTCGGATGGCATTTTCGTAATTTCTTGGGCGACGAAAGGCCATTTTCTTTGGATATTGAAGGCCACAGATCACGGATTCTGCCTGAGGCTATTCTCCAACGATGATTGAGTCCATTAAGCACAGATTTGGGCGGATTTATTCCGGGTCAATTTTTGGCAGATTCCAAAGGGGTACCATCACAGATTTCGGGTGATTTATAGGAAATGCCATTTTCTTTCGATTCTGGAGGCTACAGATCACAGAATCTGGCCGAGACTATTCTCCACCGATAATGAAGTCTATTGATCCTATTCTCCACGGATGATAATGCCGTTAAGCATCGATTTTGGCCAATTTATTTTCGGATGGCATTTTCGTAATTTCTTGGGCGACGAAAGGCCATTTTCTTTGGATATTGAAGGCTACATATCACGGATTCGGCCTGAGGCTATTACCCAACGATGATTGAGTCCATTAAGCACAGATTTGGGCGGATTTATTCCGGGTCAATTTTTGACAGATTCCAAAGGGGTACCATCACAGATTTCAGCGATTTATCTGAAATGTCATTTTCTTTCGATTCTGGAGGTTACAGATCACGGAATCAGGCCGAGGCTATTCTCCACCGGTAATGAAGTCTATTGATCCTTTTCTCCATGGATGATAAGCCCGTTAAGCATCGATTTGGGCCAATTTATTTTCGGATGGCATTTTCGTAATTTCTTGGGCGACGAAAGGCCATTTTCTTTGGATATTGAAGGCTACAAATCACGGATTCCGCCTGAGGCTATTCTCCAACGATGATTGAGTCCATTAAGCACAGATTTGGGCGGATTTATTCCGGGTCAATTTTTGGCAGATTCCAAAGGGGTACCATCACAGATTTCGGGCGATTTATCTGAAATGCCATTTTCTTTCGATTCTGGAGGGTACAGATCACGGAATCATGCCGAGGCTATTCTCCACCGATAATGAAGTCTATTGATCCTTTTCTCCACGGATGATAAGCCCGTTAAGCATCGATTTGGGCCAATTTATTTTCGGATGACATTTTCGTAATTTCTTGTGCGACGAAAGGCCCTTTGGATATTGAAGGCTACAGATCACGGATTCGGCCTGAGGCTATTCTCCAACGATGATTGTGTCCATTCAGCACCGATTTGGGCGGATTTATTCCGGGTCAATTTTTGGCAGATTCCAAATGGGTACCATCACAGATTTCGGGCAATTTATCTGAAATGCCATTTTCTTTCGATTCTGGAGGCTACAGATCACAAAATCAGGCCGAGGCTATTCTCCACTGATAATGAAGTCTATTGATCCTTTTCTCCACGGATGATAAGCCCGTTAAGCATCGATTTGGGTCAATTTATTTTCGGATGAAATTTTCGTAATTTCTTGTGTGACGAAAGGCCATTTTCTTTGGATATTCAAGGCCACAGATCACGGATTCGCCCTGAGGCTATTCTCCAACGATGATTGAGTCCATTAAGCACAGATTTGGGCGGATTTATTCCGGGTCAATTTTTGACAGATTCCAAAGGGGTACCATCACAGATTTCAGGCGATTTATCTGAAATGTCATTTTCTTTTGATTCTGGAGGTTACAGATCACGGAATCAGGCCGAGGCTATTCTCCACCGATAATGAAGTCTATTGATCCTTTTCTCCATGGATGATAAGCCCGTTAAGCATCGATTTGGGCCAATTTATTTTCGGATGGCATTTTCGTAATTTCTTGGGCGACGAAAGGCCATTTTCTTTGGATATTGAAGGCTACAGATCACGGATTCGACCTGAGGCTATTCTCCAACGACGATTGAGTCCATTAAGCACCGATTTGGGCATATTTATTCCGGGTCAAATTTTGGCAGATTCCAAAGGGGTACCATCACAGATTTCGGGCAATTTATCCGAAATGCCATTTTCTTTCGATTCTGGAGGCTACAGATCACGGAATCAGGCCTGAGGCTATTCTCCAACGATGATTGAGTCCATTAAGCCCGATTTGGGCGGATTTATTCCGGATCAATATTTGGCAGATTCCAAAGGGGTACCATCACAGATTTCGGGCGATTCATCCGAAATGCCATTTTCTTTGGATTCTGGAGGCTACAAATCACGGAATCAGGCCGAGGCTATTCTCCCCCGCTAATGAAGTCTATTGATCATAATCTCCACGGATGATAAGCCCGTTAATCATCGATTTGGGCCAATTTATTTTCAGATGGCATTTTCGTAATTTCATGTGCGACGAAAGGCCCTTTGGATATTGAAGGCTACAAATCACGGATTCGGCCTGAGGCTATTCTCCAACGATGATTGAGGCCATTAAGCACAGATTTGTGCGGATTTGTTCCGGGTCAATTTTTGGCAGATTCCAAAGGGGTAACATCATAGATTTCGGGCGATTTATGCGGAATGCAATTTTCTTTCGATTCTGGAGGTTACAGATCACGGAATCAAGCCGAGGCTATTCTCCACCGATAATGAAGTCTATTGATCCTATTCTCCACGGATGATAATCCCGTTAAGCATCGATTTGGGGCAATTTATTTTCGGATGGCATTTTCGTAATTTCTTGGGCGACGAAAGGCCATTTTCTTTGGATATTGAAGGCTACAGATCACGGATTGGCCTGAGGCTATTCTTTAATGATGATTGAATCCATTAAGCACCGATTTGGGCGTATTTATTCCGGGTCAAATTTTGGCAGATTCCAAAGGGGTACCATCACAGATTTCGGCGATTTTTCCGAAATACTATTTTCTTTCAATTCTTGAGGCTACAGATCAATGAATCAGGCCGAGGCTATTCTCCACCGATAATGAAGTCTATTGATCCTATTCTCCACGGATGATAAGCCCGTTAAGCATCGATTTAGGCCAATTTATTTTCGGATGGCATTTTCGTAATTTCTTGGGCGACGAAAGGGTATTTTCTTTTGATATTGAAGGCTACAGATCACATATTCGGCCTGAGGCTATTCTCCAACGATGATTGAGTCCATTAAGCACCGATTTGGGCGGATTTATTCCGGGACAATTTTTGGCAGATTCCAAAGGGGTACCATCACGGATTTCGGGCGATTTATCCGAAATTAAATTTTCTTTCGATTCTGGAGGCTACACATCACGGAATCAGGCTGAGGCTATTCTCCACCTATAATTAAGTCTATTGATCCTATTCTCCACGGATGATAAGCCCGTTAAGCATCGATTTGGGCCAAAAAAAAATTCGGATGGCATTTTCGTAATTTCTTGGGCGACGAAAGGTCATTTTCTTTGGATATTGAAGGCTACAGATCACAGATTCGGCCTGAGGATATTCTCCAATGATTGATTCCATTAAGCACCGATTTGTGCGTATTTATTCCGGGTCAAATTTTGGCAGATTCCAAAGGGGTACCATCACAGATTTCGGGCGATTTATCCGAAATACCATTTTCTTTCGATTCTAGAGGCTAAAGATCAATGAATCAGACCGAGGCTATTCTCCACCGGTAATGAAGTCTATTGATCCTATTCTCCACGAATGATAAGCCCGTTAAGCATCGAGTTGGTGCAATTTATTTTTGGATGGCATTTTCGTAATTTCTTGGGCGACAAAATGGTATTTTCTTTTGATATTGAAGGCTACAGATCACAGATTCGGCCTGAGGCTATTCTCCAACGATGATTGAGTGCATTAAACACCGATTTGGGCGGATTTATTCCCAGTCAATTTTTGGCAGATTCCAAAGGGGTACTATCACAGATTTCGGGCGATTTATCCGAAATGCCATTTCCTTTCGATTCTGGAGGCTACACATAACGGAATCAGGCTGAGGCTATTCTCCACCGATAATTAAGTCTATTGATCCTATTCTCCACGGATGATAAGCCCGTTAAGCATCGATTTGGGCCAAAAAAAATTCGGATGGCATTTTCGCAATTTCTTGGGCGACGAAAGGCCATTTTCTTTGGATATTGAAGGCTACAGATCACAGATTCTGAGGCTATTCTCCAACGATGATTGATTCCATTAAGCACAGACTTGGGCGGATTTATTCCGGGTCCATTTTTGGCATATTCCAAAGGGGTACCAATACAGATTTCGGGGGATTTATTCGAAATGCCATTTTCTTTCGATTCTGGAGGCTACAGATCACAGAATCAGGCCGAGGCTATTCTACACCAATAATGAAGTCTATTGATCCGATTCTCCACGGATGATAAGACTGTTAAGCATCGATTTGGGCCAATTTATTTTCGGATGGCATTTTCGTAATTTCTTGGGCGACGAAAGGCCATTTTCTGTGGATATTGAAGGCTACATATCACGGATTCGGCCTGAGGCTATTCTCCAACGATGATTGTGTCCATTAAGCACCGATTTGAGCGGATTTATTCCGGGTCAAGTTTTGGCAGATTCCAAATGGGTACCATCACAGATTTCGGGCGATTTATCTGAAATGCCATTTTCTTTCGATTCTGGAGGCTACAGATCACGGAATCTGGCCGAGGCTATTCTCCACTGATAATGAAGTCTATTGATCCTTTTCTCCATGGATGATAAGCCCGTTAAGCATCGATTTGGGTCAATTTATTTTCGGATGACATTTTCGTAATTTCTTGTGCGACGAAAGGCCATTTTCTTTGGATATCGAAGGCCACAGATCACGGATTCGGCCTGAGGCTATTCTCCAACGATGATTGAGTCCATTAAGCACAGATTTGTGCGGATTTATTCCGGGTCAATTTTTGGCAGATTCCAAAGGGGTACCATCACAGATTTCATGCGATTTATCCGAAATGCCATTTTCTTTCGATTCTGGAGGCTACAGATCACGGAATCAGGCCGAGGCAATTCTCCACCGATAATGAAGTCTATTGATCCTATTCTCCACGGATGATAAGCCCGTTACGTATCGATTTGGGACAATTTATTTTCGGATGGCATTTTCGTAATTTCTTGGGCGACGAAAGGCCATTTTCTTTGGATATTGAAGGCTACAGATCACAGATTCGGCCTGAGGCTATTCTCCAACGATGATTGAGTCCATTAAGCATCGATTTGGGCGGATTTATTCCGGGTCAATTTTTGGCAGATTCCAAAGGGGTAACATCACAGATTTCGGGCGATTTATTCGAAATGCCATTTTCTTTCGATTCTGGAGGCTACAGATCACGGAATCAGGCCGAGGCTATTCTCCACCGATAATGAAGTCTATTGATCCTATTCTCCACGGATGATAAGCCCGTTAAGCATCGATTTGGGCCAATTTATTTTCGGATGGCATTTTTCGTAATTTCTTGGGCGACGAAAGGCCATTTTCTTTGGATATTGAAGGCTACAGATCACGGATTCGGCCTGAGGCTATTCTCCAACGATGATTGAGTCCATTAAGCACCAATTTGGGCGGATTTATTCCGGGTCAATTTTTGGCAGATTCCAAAGGGGTACCATAACAAATTTCGGGCGATTTATCCGAAATGCCATTTTCTTTCGATTCTGGAGGCTACAGATCACGGAATTATGCCGAGGCTATTCTCCACCGATAATGAAGTCTATTGATCCTTTTCTCCACGCATGATAAGCCAGTTAAGCATCGATTTGGGCCTATTTATTTTCGGATGGCATTTTCGTAATTTCTTGGGCGACGAAAGGCCATTTTCTTTGGATATTGAAGGCCACATATTATGGATTCGGCCTGAGGCTATTCTCCAACGATGATTGAGTCCATTAAGCACCAATTTGGGCGGATTTATTCCGGGTCAATTTTTGGCAGATTCCAAAGGGGTACCATCACAGATTTCGGGCGATTAATCCAAAATGCCATTTTCTTTCGATTCTGGAGGCTACAGATCACGGAATTAGGGTGAGGCTATTCTCCACCGATAATTAAGTCTATTGATCCTATTCTCCACAGATGATAAGCCCGTTAAGCATCGATTTGGGCCAATTTATTTTCGGATGGCATTTTCGTAATTTCTTGTGCGACGAAAGGCCATTTTCTTTGGATATTGAAGGCTACATATCATGGATTCGGCATGAGGCTATTCTCCAACAATGATTGAGTCCATTAAGCACCGATTTGGGCGGATTTATTCCGGGTCAATTTTTGGCAGATTCCAAAGGGGTAACATCACAGATTTCGAGCGATTTATTCGAAATGCCATTTTCTTTCGATTCTGGAGGCTACAGATCACGGAATCAGGCCGAGGCTATTCTCCACCGATAATGAAGTCTATTGATCCTATTCTCCACGGATGATAAGCCCGTTAAGCATCGATTTGGGCCAATTTATTTTCGGATTGCATTTTTCGTAATTTCTTGGGCGACGAAAGGCCATTTTCTTTGGATATTGAAGGCTACAGATCACGGATTCGGCCTGAGGCTATTCTCCAACGATGATTGAGTCCATTAAGCACCAATTTGGGCGGATTTATTCCGGGTCAATTTTTGGCAGATTCCAAAGGGGTACCATCACAAATTTCGGGCGATTTATCCGAAATGCCATTTTCTTTCGATTCTGGAGGCTACAGATCACGGAATTATGCCGAGGCTATTCTCCACCGATAATGAAGTCTATTGATCCTTTTCTCCACGGATGATAAGCCAGTTAAGCATCGATTTGGGCTTACTTATTTTCGGATGGCATTTTCGTAATTTCTTGGGCGACGAAAGGCCATTTTCTTTGGATATTGAAGGCCACATATTACGGCTTCGGCCTGAGGCTATTCTCCAACGCTGATTGAGTCCATTAAGCACCAATTTGGGCGGATTTATTTCGGGTCAATTTTTGGCAGATTCCAAAGGGGTACCATCACAGATTTCGGGCGATTAATCCAAAATGCCATTTTCTTTCGATTCTGGAGGCTACAGATCACGGAATTAGGGTGAGGCTATTCTCCACCGATAATTAACTCTATTGATCCTATTCTCCACAGATGATAAGCCCGTTAAGCATCGATTTGGGCCAATTTATTTTCGGATGGCATTTTCGTAATTTCTTGTGCGACGAAAGGCCATTTTCTTTGGATATTGAAGGCTACATATCATGGATTCGGCATGAGGCTATTCTCCAACAATGATTGAGTCCATTAAGCACCGATTTGGGCGGATTTATTCTGGGTCAATTTTTGGCAGATTCCAAAGGGGTAACATCACAGATTTCGAGCGATTTATTCGAAATGCCATTTTCTTTCGATTCTGGAGGCTACAGATCACGGAATCAGGTCGAGGCTATTCTCCACCGATAATGAAGTCTATTGATCCTATTCTCCACGGATGATAAGCCCGTTAAGCGTGATTTAAGCCAATTTATTTTCGGATGGCATTTTCGTAATTTCTTGGGCGACGAAAGGCCATTTCTTTGGATATTGAAGGCTACAGATCACATATTCGGCCTGAGGCCGCTTGTTTTCAACTAAGAGAGATTTCTTTTCTATGCACGCTTAAAGAATATAATTTTTGTGATGAATGATGAGTACTTCTGGACAGTCCATTTAGGATGTTGTTTCTACTTTATGCCGCACATTACAGTACATACGATATTTAGCGTACTCGTATATAACTCTTTAGAAATTATTGTATCTGTTTTTTTTATAATTAATTGAAATACAATTTTAAGGTTGTGTTCATCCTTTTTAAGAGTGGTTTGGGTAAGAGGGAGTGATCACACAACTCACATCCACATGGACATGGCATAAACTTTGGGGGAGGTTCCTTTCAAAGATGTGTTCTGTTTGCTTTGGCACACACACTATAAAAATTTAACAATTTCCCCAACCATTGATTTGAGTAATCCCTAAGCCACCACAAAATAATAAATCATTGTAATAAAATCAAAATTACCCAAATAATATGTTTCCTCTTTTTCGATAGTGGCACTTATTATCATAGTAGGCATGTGATGACACCTCGCTCTCTATAACTACTATGACTTAAATGACATTATTGGGATTTATTCAATTTTTTTATTTTTGAGACATCCCATTGAATAGTGCATGTGTCAATTCAACTACAAATGGACCATATTGTGCCTACCTACACAATTCAACTACAACAACAGATTTTGACCAAACATTTGTCTATGATGAAATTTCAAAGTTTTCTAGATACTGGGGGCTTATCTACTCTAACAAAGGTTTTATTATAGTAATTTCGAGTTCAACAGGTTAAAGATCAAACATTTTCGTTTTGGTGTCGAAAACCTGTCTTTATGATGAATATTGGTTTGACTGTTAAATGAGATACATACTTCGTAAGTATGTACTTTAGGAATTTTACTTTTGTCAAATCGTGAAAGGAATGGTTACATCAAGCAACATGCATTGGATTTACAGTTGGATATTTTATCTCTCGCCTCATGTTTCGGTTGGGCGAGTATATAAAACACAATTAAAAATGATAATGGGGTCGGTTAAGATAATTAATCATGGAACGATGGTCAAACCAAGTCATTCCATATGATTACGTAATTTAAACGAAAAATATTTGAAATATTGTTTTTCCATTAAAAAATAAAGAAACAAACTATAACATGATAAATGTAGTTAAATTATTCGAAAAATTAAGGTACTGTAATTTTAATATAGAAAAAAATTATTTGAATAAAATATAAGGATCATTTAATATTTAATATCTCTAATTAGAAAAATTATTAGAAGGGGAAAGAAAATCTCATGTGTGGAATGTTACAGACAGCGCGGCCGGTGACAGTGCCATGCAAGCAAAGCACGGCTTTGATTAAATAATAAATCACGCGTTAATTTTCCGTCCAGCTGGAGATCACGGTTCACGTTGATGACGTGGCGAAATCAGAGAGGACTAGAGGAGGAAAGAAGATGGAGTTACCGTGGAAGCGGCTGTAGGAGAGCACAAGCCATTTGGACTGTGTGGCAGTAAGGTTTCCTCGTACGACGCCGTAACTGTGAAAGTGTGGGGACAAGAAGAAATGTCAACTAGCCTCCAACAAGGGCATGACAAAATTACGTTTTCGTGATTAGCACAAATGTTGTTAGCACTTTTAGTCCCTCCAAATTTTTATTTTTTCAAATTTCTTTATGATTGGAGCCACTCCTAGATGAAGGGGGAGTTTCCATGCTATAGTTGAAGATATCCACCATGAGGGTGGTAACAAGAAGGCTCGGAAATCGATCCCGTCATTTTCCAGGGGAGATGCCAACTATCTTTCTTTTTTACGAATACGCATTCGAAGTTCACGTTGTACTTAACATTAATTATCTAATATAGCATTCACTAAATTAATATGACGAATAATGAGTATTCGTGCATTATCCATGTACCTGATCTATTACGAAGAATACCAAGAAAAAGATTTAAAACAAATGTAGAAACTCGAAACCACATTACCGTTCTCACATCAGACCCATTATGAAGAGATATGAGTTTAACATTATATATATGATATCATTAAAAAAATTAGCTAGAACTCGAGAGAATTGCTGCTCTCTACTAACTTTTTTTTGTCTACTCTTTGGAGAAATAACTATAAGCAAGCACATGTAAGATCTTTATTGGGAGACATTTAAATACAATACGTATGTTTTAACCATATGTATTTTTGGGTAATTCTTTGGTTAGAGTTTAGCTTCTTTAACACAATCAGAGTAATACTTTAGGTTAACATATTCAATATCGAAAAACCGAATGTACATTTAAACAAGTGATGGTACGTTGAATGTTTAGTGAATGTATCTTTATTTCAAGATCCGTAGCGCCCATCAAAACGAAGGAAGGTAGTCATTGATGGACTAATTTGTATAAGCTTCAAATGACAAGGACTTGAAATGCTATATAGAAATTACGGGTGGGACTACCCAAAAATAAGAAGGTTTTGCAGGGACAAGCACGCCGTCTAAACTATTGACAGGGAATTTATTATTTTTATAAAAAATTGCGGGTCAATTTAATACGGAAATAAAAGATAAAAAATACAGAATAAAAACAAATGATTTCTATTAAATTTTCGTCTACGACGCCGACGACCCAACAAAAAACCGAGCTCCTCAACTCAATTCCTCTCTGAAAAGTAAAGAGAGGAAAAGAGAGTTTCCATTTCCAATTCTCTGAGTCAGATTGTCATCATTTCTCCACCGACCCTTTCCCATCTCTTCTTCCTCCGTATTCGTTTCAGCTCAGGTGTTCTCCTCGCCCAATTCACCTGTGTCAGGGCGGGAGTTCCATTGCTTGGGAATCTTTTTTTTTACAGCTCTCGGTTGGTAATGCAATCCTTGACTTGAAGACACCTTACTTTTCTATTCGTCTAGTTGGGTTTTCTATTCTGGGTAGGTTTGTTTTGGTGAGATCCTTTTTGGGGTCTTTTGGTTTTTTTGTTGGTGTCTGGAAATCGATTCTGCTGCTGTTTGTTTTCAGCTAAGAGTTGGGGTTTCTGCTTTCTGTGGTTTGCGATTATCTAGGTTCTGGGTAGGTCTGTAAAGTTTGTTTCTTTGCTTTCTTTCGGTTGTTGTGGAGCTTGGGAGTTATCGTTTTCCTTGTGTTTTTCTAGTCAGTGCTTGGTTTGACTGTTGGCGAATGTTAGGTTTTGTCGATTGTTGGGATTCTGGCTTGGATCTATCTAGATATGAACTCTAAGTTGCTGATTGTGGTTTAAAAGTTCATTTTTTTATACTTTCTTGTGGGAGGATTATGTTCATCTTTCCGAGGATGTTAACAGTGTTAAGTTTTGCAGAATTCTATTGATCAAGTGAGAGAAGATGTCAGGAGGTGGAACTCAGAACAGCTTGAGGAAGGCACTTGGATCCATTAAAGATACCACCACTGTTTCATTGGCTAAAATCAATAGCGATTACAAGGTAGACTAGTTGAGAGTTATAGTGAATTTAGGACTATGGTTGTTAAAGTTTCCCCTTTTTTCATGTCATTGATCTGTTTGCTCTTGTTACTCTTTGATTCCCCAGGAATTGGACATTGCTATAGTGAAGGCCACAAATCATGTTGAAAGACCAGCGAAGGAGAAACATATAAGAGGTGGGTGATTTTGTGCCAATTGTTTTGCCTCTTCAAGCCATGGAAATTCTTTCAATCCTTCGGCTTCTTGTGGCTGTAACTTTTTGAGGGAGAATTGTCTGAGCAACATCAAGCTCACGTGGTTTCCTAAATCTTTTTGCAGCTGTTTTTGCTGCTATTTCCGCTACCAGACCTCGTGCTGATGTTGCATATTGCATCCATGTTCTTGCCAGAAGGTTGGCAAAAACGCATAACTGGGCGGTAGGTGTTTATCTATTGTTTACTGTCTTGTTCTGATCGGAGACATACTAGAGTGGTGTTCGTTGTGGTAGAACATCTCTCTTAAGCCAAGTGGCTACCGTGTAGATAAGTTCAGGCATGTAACTCTATCAGTATCAGCCATGAAATAGCTTACGTGGTAGCTGATTTCGTTTCTGTTGTATTGTGGTCCGTGCTTAAAATTTTCTATTATTTGCATTATTCTCTCTTGTATTGATGGACTGAATATCTCTGACTTTAGGTTGCCTTGAAAACTTTGGTTGTCATCCATCGAGCTTTGAGAGAAGTAGACCCTACATTTCATGAGGAGCTCATCAATTATGGCAGAAGCAGAAGTCATATGCTCAACATGTCGCATTTTAAAGATGATTCCAGCCCAAATGGTATTGTTTTTTTTTTCTGTCTGAATTTTGTGAGCTGACTGTTTACTTAGATGACTGCTACACTGATGATTCTTATGCATCATGTAGCATGGGATTATTCTGCTTGGGTTCGCACTTATGCGTTGTTTTTGGAGGAGAGGCTGGAATCTTTTCGGGTTTTGAAGTATGACATTGAGACAGATCGACCAGTACGTTCTCTCTCTCTCTGTTATTTCATTCTGCTCTTAACTATTTCTGCATGTGTTCCTATATCATTTTTAATCGCTCCTGATGATTGAAGTCTCAGTTAATAGTAGGTGTCCGTCATCCTTGACTAATTCGTTAATAAACCTTTAGCAGAGGACTAAAGATCTGGAAACTGCTGAATTACTGGAGCAATTGCCAGCGTTGCAGCAGCTTCTTTTCCGTGTCCTTAACTGTCAGGTACCAGCTAAAGTTGCTAAATACTAGTGAGGGTTTAACAGAAGAAAGACACTTATTCTTTTCATTCCATCTTTACTGAAGCAATATTTGGTTCTTTTTTAACAGCCTCAGGGAGCTGCTGTTAGTAACTTCATCATCCGCTTGGCACTCGCAATGGTAGGAAAAAGTTTTTAATGTCTTTTCTTCTCAAGTTAGTGGATAAGAGTTAGTAATCTTCTTTGTTTTATGACTTATCATTTTCTTTCATGCCATTTTCTAATAGGTTGCTTCGGAAAGTGTCAAGATCTATCAAGCTATAACAGATGGAACAGCAAATCTAGTCGACAAGGTAGTAAATGATCTGGATTTTGGTCCTTAATATCTGATGTTATAATGTTCCAATATTAACTTTAGCTTTATTAATGACAGTTTTTTGAGATGCCACGTGCTGATGCTGTGAAGGCTCTGGACATATATAGGAAAGCCTGTCAGCAGGTAATTTTTTTTTTGTTACTTGAGATGTGGAAATTTCATTCAAGAGTCTCCGTTTGAGACATTTGAATTTGTTTTTCAGGCAGAGAGACTGTCGGAATTTTATGAGATATGTAAAAGCATGGATATAGGGCGTGGAGAACGGTTCATTAAGATTGAGCAGGTTTTGAGATTCTCTCTTGCTTTATCATCTCTGCAATTTTCTATATTCATTTGTTCAATTTTTTAAGTGAATTTGTTTCTGGTGATGATGCAGCCTCCTGCATCTTTCTTGCAAACAATGGAAGAGTATGTTCGTGATGCTCCACGTGTCTCAACTGTTCGTAAAGATCAGGTACATAACCTAATCTTCCTAGATAGGTAGAAAAGACTGTACTTTTGTAGTTCAGATGTCATCTGAAGGTTATTTGAACTCTTTCAAAGCTGTCCTGTGGTCTTAGCAAAATGAGCTTGGAGT